GCAAAAAGAATCTTGTACTGTAGCTTGACAAACAACCAAAGTGGCTTTCAGGAAACATTGGCGTCATTATACACCATACAAATAGTGCACACCAATATCCATTAGCACTTTGCTAAGCTAAAGGCATGGTACTGTAAGCACTAAAAATATAACATCTAAATACTGGCTAAAATTGTGCATTTTTGTCAAATATTATGGTATAGCACAATTTTGACTACCTACATTTTAAAACAGCCTGTAGAGTTGTGCACACCTATAGGTATAATAGGGCCTGTAATCTTAAATAGCCTTAAAATGCTGTCTAGGTAGGCAGTTTACTAGGGTTTGGAAGTGATAAATGAAAAACAGGATTGTGAAAATGTTCCCAAAGCTCTTTGCTCAGTCGCCAAGCCTTTCTAAACACCCTGTCACGGGCTGTTTTACAGGATTGTGTAAACCACTTGTTGTGGAATAATGGACTTGCGTTTACAGTCCGTGTGGTCCAGCTGTTAAAGGGATAGTTCACCCAAAAATGAAAATTATCCCATTATTTACTCACCCTCAAGCCATCCTAGGTGTCTATGACTTCCTTCTTTCAGATGAATCCAATCGGAGTTATATAAAAAATTGACTTTGCTCTTCCAAGCTGTTTCATGGCACTCAGCGGGTGTTGCATTGTTTCAGTCCAAAAGAAGTGAAATAAAGCACGTCCATCCATAATAAAAAGTGCCTCATACGGCTCCGGGGGGTGAACAAAGGCCTCCTGTAGCGAATCGATGCGTTTTTGTAAGAAAAATATCCATATTCAAAACGTAATAATCACTTTAATCTAGCTTGCGCCAACAGTTGTACACGGAAGCAGCTCCGGGGGAATGACGTAAGATGTCGGCGCTGCGCATGCGCCGGTGAGTCTCGTGAAAACCAACGTTTGTTTACAGGAGCAAAGGAAGCAACGTTTCCTTACTTTAGCAAAGGAAAACCAGTCTCCTCTTGGCTTATATCGAAACCCTCCTCATTCTTCTTTACAAATCCTCGTTTTGTACTTCTAATTAGTGACCGTTGTTTTGTTTTGATCTCTACGCTGCGCTTCCGCGTTCGTCACTTCTGAGCGGCGCATGCTCAATGCCGACGTCCTACGTCATCCGCCCGGAACTGCTTCAGTGTACAACAGTTTGCGCAAGCTAGATTAAAGTGATTATTACGTTTTGAATATGGATATTTTTCTTACAAAAACACATCGATTCGCTACAGGAGGCCTTTGTTCACCCCCCGGAGCCGTGTGAGGCACTTTTTTT